ATCTATCTATCTATCTATCTATCTATCTATCTATCTATCTATCTATCTATCTATCAATCTATCTATCCATCCATCCATCCATCCATCCATTCATCCATCCACCTATCTATCTAGACAGAAGTCTGCAATTTTCTAGGGTAACGAGCAGTGATAGTTGACAGAGCCACGCCTACCTCCCAGGCTGTGAGCCACGCCCACATAGTTCTCTCCCTTCATCCCCGCCTTCTGCAGCTTGTCGAAGGCCCCCCTCATGGCGGCCGGAAGTTGCAGCGGGTTGGGCGTGTTGAGGGTGTAGTTTCCGGTCAAGGCCACCCACAGCCGGATGTTTGTGGCTGCCTGGATGGCTCGGCCTGTGGGCGGGAACAGATGAGAGATTATAAAACAGGTGATAGAGTGGAAAACCGATGACAGAGTTGATATGGCAAAGATAAAAGTACCAAATGACCTTTTTTTATAAAAAAAAAGGGGGGGGGGGTGAGGGGGAGAGCCTCTGTAAATGGCAATAACTCGGTGATCTTTTCACCAATTTCAACTGAACTTTAAGAAACAAAATTCCGTCAAGGCGACTTGTAAGTTGATAACCATTGTATTCAGAAAAACAAATTAAATAGCAGGTTGGTTGTTGGTTGTTGTTTTTTGGTGTTTTTTCGTATTGTTTTATTCCATGGACTTTTTTTTCTTGCTTGTTATTTATATGACAAAGAGAGTATTCAAGTACATCCATAGATTCAAGATCTTGTCTCTCTCTGTGCTAGGGCAGTGGAGAAGGGGATGTGTGGAGGGGGAGGGAGAGTGGTGGTGGGGGATGAACCAAAACATCTCTCAAAACAAAGTCTGTACAAATGTGTGACTCTCTACAAAGTACGACTTTTCTACAAAGGTGAAACTCTTGACAAAAATACGACTTTTTTACAAAGGTGAAACTCTTAACAAAAATACGACTTTTCTACAAAGGTGAAACTCTTAACAAAAATACGACTTTTTTACAAAGGTGAAACTCTTAACAAAAATACGACTTTTCTACAAAGGTGAAACTCTTAACAAAAATACGACTTTTCTACAAAGGTGAAACTCTTAACAAAAATACGACTTTTCTACAAAGGTGAAACTCTTAACAAAAATACGACTTTTCCACAAAGGTGAAACCCTTTACAAAGTTACAACGTTTCTACAAAGATGAGTTTCCGTGTCATGGTGACAATTTCCCCTAACTCACCAGTCTCCTCATAAGCCTTGCCGTCAATGCTGGCACCCGGGACAAAGATAACCGCTGCCTCTGGTCCTGAGCTTCTGATTGGTGGAATGATGCATGACGTCACCGCCAGACTTTGACCAATGAACAGCGCCGAGAACATGGCGGCGAGGAGGAGGAGGGAAGTCATCGTGGATGTCTGTAGTCACACAAGGAAATGTTAGTGGAAACTACAGATAGATCTGTCGGTCGTTACACAAGGAAATGTTAGTGGAAACTACAGATAGATCTGTCGGTCGTTACACAAGGAAATTTTAGTGGAAACCACAGATAGGTCTGTCGGTCGTTACACAAGGAAATGTTAGTGGAAACAACAGATAGATCTGTCGGTCGTTACACAAGAAAATGTTAGTGGAAACCACAGATAGATCTGTCGGTCGTTACACAAGGAAATGTTAGTGGAAATCACAGATAGATCTGTCGGTCGTTACATTAGGAAATGTTAGGGGAAACAACAGATAGATCGGTCGGTCGTTACCCAATGAAATGTTAGTGGAAACCACAGATAAATCTGTCTGTAGTCATAGTAGGGTCTGGTTTGGGTGCAATTTCAATTTCTCCTAAAAAGTATAGGTGGTTCTGTTAGCTCCGCATAATATGACGATTGGAATATATTCTTCTTGTTGTTTGTGGGCTCTGATAGTGTGCATTACTCAGGCATAGTTAATGTAAACGACAGGGAGATATTTCTGTCGTTCCTGTACATGTTTATCACACGGGGAATTTAGCCAAGTGAAAACCATGAAATATCTTGTTTGTTGCTGTTGTAGCTGTGCCTGATGGTGATGATGGTGATGGTGGTGATGGTGGTAGGTGTGTTGCTGCTGTGCCTGATGGTGGTGGTGGTGGTGGTGGTAGGTGTGTTGCTGCTGTGCCTGATGGTGGTGGTGGTGGTGGTGGTAGGTGTGTTGCTGCTGTGCCTGATGGTGGTGATGGTGGTGATGGTGGTAGGTGTGTTGCTGCTGTGCCTGATGGTGGTGGTGGTGGTGGTGGTAGGTGTGTTGCTGCTGTGCCTGATGGTGGTGGTGGTGGTGGTGGTAGGTGTGTTGCTGCTGTGCCTGATGGTGATGGTGGTGATGGTGGTAGGTGTGTTGCTGCTGTGCCTGATGGTGGTGGTGGTGGTGGTGGTAGGTGTGTTGCTGCTGTGATTGATGGTGGTGGTGGTGGTAGGGGTGTTGCTGCTGTTGTCTTAACAGATGAATATTTTTGTAAACACCTCTGTAAGCTGTATTCTTTAAAAAATCCTTAATTAAAACTAATTAAAAAACCCTACTGGGTTGTTTTCACAGATTTTAAAAGGTTAACAGATGGGGCAATATCGCTTTTAAACATAAGTCTGTCATATTCTTTTTTCTAATCTCGACATTATGCTTATTGAACGCATGCTTTAGGAACCTATAAAATTAAATTGTTATAACGAGTTTTGCCACAAAAAAGTGTTAATGGTGAGCTGTGACGTAGCACACATACGTATACAAAATGTGTGTGAGAATCGGGAAGTGCTGAGAGCAATCATATTTTCTACTTGACAGATATTTATAGTATTTTATATAGATCTAAACTAAGGAAGAAAAGTTTTTAAATCCAGCCTAAATTGTTGTGGAAAAATGTGATAAAATTTAGACAAATTGATACACACTGTTGTGCAAATTGTGGGTGACATTGATTCACCCGTTAAAGAGATATTTGAGGTTAAGTTGCGCCACGAATTTTTGACCGCACTTTCGTCCTTCCAATGAATGTTGCAAAGGTCACTTTCAATGTTGCCCCAAGTTCACCAATTGGTAAAAGTAAATTTACAACTACTGGTGAGAGAAGCTTTTGTGATCTGTCGTACCCAGGAAGCCCCGCCCACAACTCCTACACAAATGGTGAGTGACGTGACTGGTCACTGTTTACCCCGCCCACGACAATGGACACGTCAACACTAACCCGCCACAGAAGCGTCGCTCGTTCACCGAGTGGTGATAACCCATTTGTTTGTTTTACTACTGTATTCGATCTTCCGAGACTTGCACGAAATCAAAATTTTAAAATAATAAAACTAACAACTAAAGATTTCAGGCTGAATCCAAACCCAGATACGTCGTATTTCACTACACT